CCTCCATGTCACACACAGACTGAGGATCCCCTGGTTTCCCAGGAGACATACTAAGTCAGCAAATGTTTTTGTTTCCATTCTGGAGTTGTAGCCAGATATCGACATGAGAACAGTTTCAGAAGTGTTGCATTTCCTTTTGATTTCACCTCCTCCCCAGGGAGAAGAACCACTAGGAGCAATTCACTTGAGAGGCTGCGTGGTGACTGCAGTGGAAGATATGCCAGACTGTAAGGAACCATATTGAATGAGCTGTGTAATAAGTTTTTGGTACATTCTTTGAATCTGCCTGAAATCACAAGTGGTTTTTACTCAAAAGCAATCTATGTGCAATGATTCAGTAATTCTTCTAGTAACTGGTCTCTCTATTGCTGTCTTAATTACTGGAGAAGGATACTGTGGTAAAGGTAGCAGCAGGGTATCTTGTGTTTTGTCAGTTGTTCAGAGAAGACTTGTCAAAAGGATGATACCATCCCTATGTTAGGATAACTGGCCTTAGACAAAGTAAGCTGAGTTTGCTCTTTTTAGTTGATGTATTTGGGATGGAAGCTTTACATTAGAAATGGTTATGCCAACAAATTATTACTGTTCACATTCTGTTCTTCCCAAAACTAGAAGTTGTGGGAACAGCAATGGTTAAGCATTGCTACAAGGAACAAGAAACACTCATTCCATGCATTCTCCTCTCCACGGGAGAGGCAGACTATCATACTCAGCAAGAAAGTCTGTTGGCATCTCGGCACCTCTGTAGGTTGTGCTGGCAGGTAGGAAATGGAGATTCTGGATGTGACGTGAACTTAAATGTCTTGTTTTCGTAGCTGGCAAGGCATGGGAGGGTTTGGGGAATATGACCTGTCTGCAGGATTTCAGATCCTTCCATGATTGGAGATCAATTAACCAGAGACTCCTGAAGGTGAAATGTGCAGAATTCATGGGTTGTTTCTCCAAGAGAGAGACCTATCTCATGGACCCAATCTTGCAATCTGTTTGTGAAAGCCTGATCGGGCACAGCTGTAGAAAGGAAGGAAATCCCCTTACAGTGTGTAAAGGAAGAAACATTGTAAATACAAGACTTTATTCTCTCATAGCTGACTTCCTTATTTTTTCCCTGTAGCCAAGAAGTATGACGTTGACAACATCCTCTTTGAAATCATCACAGCAAATGAAGTCCACTACTACTTGCAAGCAGCCTCATCTGCAGAGCGTACAGAGTGGATCAAAGCAATTCAGGCAGTTGCTAGGACTGGAAAATGAAGATGATCTGCCAGTGAGAAGACAGACAACTGAAATTAGTTACTCAAAACAAAAGAGGAATTTTAGCATTTCACTGAGAGAAAGCAATATCATCCAGAAAGATGTCCTAAGGCTTGCGGGTTGGGGGTGAGGGTGGGTAGTAAGTTTCAATTCTATAGTGGGCACTAACAAACTAACATTTTCTCCACTTCTGTTATGGTAATATTTTACTAAATTATAGCATAGAACATGTCATATTAGTGTGTGCTGCTTAGAGTAATCAATCTACCTTGGGAAGGTTGTACCTTATACTTTTCCCTGCTGCCACAGCTGATAGTAAGAATTTTACCATTAACAGGGGACAGTCTCATGTCACTGTAAGTGAGGAACTCAACCAGTCACCTACCATTCAGCCTGTGTTGTGTTTCAGTATCTTCAGATATTTCAAAGACTTCCCAAGACAAACTTTATGCTTTCTTCTTTACCGGATCTTTTTACTGCTTGCTCATCTATACAAGTAATGCCATAGATTTAAGGAAAGAAATCAACTCCCTTGGAAACCTGAGCCTCTCCTTTATAATCCTTCAGTGTTAAGGAAGGGAAGAAGGCAGACAGCTATGGAAACGCCATGCAGAAAGCAAGTACAACTCAATGACAGCGGTATGAGGAAAAGTCTCTTCCCACAGTATTTCAAACACGAAGCGATCTCAGTTCAACTTCTTTATCACCTGATTTTGACCTTTGCTAAATTTCTCCACAAGAATCTGCTCTAGGACCATTGTTGCCCTTCATTTAGATCTCCAAAGCAGTTGCTAGGGTGTCATGCACTGCTGACTTGACCTGTATTTGAATTAAGAATCTTACAGGAGAAGGGAAAGGATCCGTGGGTTACTTACTTGAACTACTGATGGAAGTGGTTTTGTTTAGGTTTTTCTTTTTTAACCTCCATCAACATACTCAGTCCTTGGTTCTGTGCCTTAGTAATATAAAAGAAACCCTATGCTTGCTGTAACTCAAATAAACGTTATTAATTGGCAGGGTCAGTTTACTTGATCAATCCTTATATTTTTGTCTGACTGTATGTATCAAACTTCTAAGTCTTAAACTTGAAGCAGGAGTTGAAAGTCAAGTTAATGTCAGATTCTGCATGTAGACTGTTCCTGATGCAGACTGATGTTTCTGAGGGCAAGTAAACTTCAAAACTTTTAAAACTCTGTAGATCTAATAAGGTACCTTATCCTTAAGAATTCTTATTCAGATCTCTTCAGTCTAAAATAAATCTGGAGCTAAAGCTTCTCTTCAATTCTGCTTAATTATACCTGTGTCTGAGCTAGTGAGCATGAAGGTCTTTTGCCTTGGTATAGGTTATCGCAAAGAAAAAACAGCCTTGCAGGGGTAGCAGGCTGGCAGACACTGCATCGTCATGTCCATTTAAGACATCCAGAGGGAATCGGATGGGCAGGCATTTCCTGTATCTCTCACAAGCTGACAGGATCGCTGAAGCCTGGTCTGTCATTCTGAGGAAGGAAGACTCATGGCAAAAAGATACCCTGTTTGCTCAACCTGCTTTCTTGATAATTGCTTTGTGGTTGCTGCTTATTTTTGCTTTCAGAGCTCACTAACCTAAAAATACCCTATGGCACAGGAAAACAAAAAAGCCCATGCAACCAAACAACAGAAACTTGCCCAGCTTAGCAAAGGAGGGATGCAACTGCCAATTTTTAATAAAACTAAAAAGTTTTACCAGTCTTTGACCTTGTCATTTTTCCCTGTGCCCAGTCAAGGGTACAGCTGCCCACCTATGAACGGTATTTTGTCTGGTAGATGATGCTAGTCAGTGTATTTGTGAAAGAGCTCTGATGTTTGTACCAGACTATATCAATAGGGTCTCTAACCTCATAGGTAGTCCTTTTAAAGATAGATCACAAGGGTTTGTAGGGGTGTCTGCTTCTTGGTGGAAATGGGAAGATTGGAAGTGTATGTCTGATGCCACCCTACCTACATTTCCTGCTATAAATGCTTTCATATGCCTGAGACTGGTACTGGGAGTGACTCTAAACTGTTCTTCCTTTTAGTCAGCTTCTCACACATTTCTTGACATCAATAATTAGCTCTACATTCCAGGGTGAATGTGCTCTAGTCCCTTTTCAGACAAGGCCTGACAAGAAATACAATACATGTCACAGTCCTTTCTCTCACAGGGGAAGAATTGGGGACCAGGGTTATTATGGGGCTAGTTTTCAAAGTCAGTTGGTTTCCTAACTCATGGCAGTACTTTTGAAAATCAAAGTAGGTACCTGAATGCCACTAGCAGTCTGACCTTAGGAATTGTGCATGAGATGATGACAATTGGCACAACCCTTGAACAGAGTCAGGAAAGTTGCTAAGGAGAGAGCTACTGGAGTTGAGACAAGGTGGTGAGGACTACTGTAATAGATGTCTGTATATGAGGAAAAAAAAGGTTAGTTTTACATCACTACAATTTCTAGAGGTACTAAATAGATCTTGTCCAAGGGAATTCAGTATTAAAAAGCAACTACAAGTCTATCATAGATTATGAGGCCAGCCTAGTTACTCAGAAGGCATGGAAGGGAAGAAGCATGTATCCTGAATACTAGCACAAGAGAAGAGAGAGCAGGCCTAGTACAAGAAACTGCTAATTGCAAGAGGAAATATAGAAGAGCAGACCTTCATGTGCCATGCTTCTTCCATCTGTTTTCACCCTCTAACTATTTAAATCACGCTTCTGTGCACTCGGCAATTACTCCATCAACATCAGTTCCTTTTTTACTTATAACATGAATTAATCTTTTTTCATAGACTAAAGGACAGCAAAATAAACCATTGTGGATAAGGACTATATTTATAATCTTCAATTACTGTAAGACTTGTATGATATAATCTACCATAAAGATCCTCTTAGGTTCGTGTTTGACTTGCCACATCTTAGACTGAGCAGTTTTCCCTCCCCTGGAATGTTGATTGCATGCTTACTACAGTCAGATTTTTAGGAACGTTTATTAATCATGCACCCATAAAAATACCCATGAGGACATGGAGCTCCTTCTTCCATGGTTTAAAAGAAAACAGGACAAAGCAAACCCCACACACATACACTGAAAATATAACATCCATGAGGACTGCAACCACCCAACAAGCTTTCAGCCACAGGTGTTACTTCTTATAATCCAATAAACACCTCATATGGAGGTAGTTCTGTCTTAATGTGTCTCTAGTAGTGGTTTCCAAGAGCTGTTTACTTTCCCTGTGTTACAGCTTTCTTCTGAAGGGTAAGGTTAGGGTAAATTTAGTATTATTTTGTTGCTAAATGTAGTTATTTTGGTGCTGTTCTTTGCAGTGTACTGTCTTTACTCTTTATTTGAAAGAATAGTTAACAGATTAGTGTTAAAGGTCTACTGAAAATGTGTTATTAGTAATAGAACAGTTTATTGAGGAATCTTTAATCAAAGTTTGTTTGTAAAGAGGAAAAAAATAGTTAAGGCCTGTGAGGTATGACCTAGTGTGTACTGTCAAATCTCTCTTTTAGACAAAGTGTGTTTTTGCATTTGTTCTTGCAATATTGCAGATAATTCTTCAGTGCAGTAATACTGCTTCTGTCTTTGTCTTAGAGTTCAGTTTATTACAAATGTTGAACACCAATCATTTTTTTTTTTTTCCTAATTTGTTCTCAAATACTTAAGAAGTTATTTTAAGTTTGAACAACTTGCTTCACAGGGCTCTGGATAAGCACTTTTTATTGTTTGTAACGTGCTTCCATTTGTTCTGAGTTCAGGCTTGGGTAGCACCAAAACAAAGAATCCTGAAAACTTTCCATAAATAACTGTTGTGGTGAGGGCCAGAAACACTTTAGTAGGGTGGGGTTTTTTTTTGGGGGTGGTGGTTTGGGTTGGTTTTTTTTGTTGTTCAGTTTATACCTTTTAAAACTGTAGGAGACTATAGGAGGAACTTCAAAAAGCAAAATGAGTAGATAACAGTCCTCTGCTGGTTGTTGGCAGTCGGTATTTCTGTGGGTGCCTTTAGTTTGTGTTTTGAAAAGTGCACATATTTTTGCTTGTGAACTGTGGTCTTCTCATTGATGTATAGAGATTTTACCATGCTCGGGGTGAACTTCTGTATGCAGTAGAAGACTTGAAGATGGGCTTCAAATTTCTGTCTCCTGTTTGGGTTTCCTGCTGGCTAACAGGGGGATGTGTGCTCTAGCCTTTTCTTCTCAACAGCTACCTTTCTTGGAGGAGTTTTTGGGTTTGATAGCTTTGGCAGCCTGAGAAAACTGCATGTGCCATGCAATAAATAGTGCCAAGTTCTTTAGCCTACCTACTTGAATAATTTTTAAGTAAATATATTATGTTGAGTTTGTCCTAAAGTAAATAAAAGTGGAATACATGTGCTTTTATGTGTTAATAATATGCTACAATATGCAAGAGGTTCTTTTCGAAAGCTAGGATAAAATGCAAGGCTGTTGGCACAGCCTCTGGTTTGAAGGATTGCTTCTGGATTATACAATTAAGTAATTGCATAGTTATATTATTTAGCCTGTAAGACGAGCAGTTCTCAGTGTATAAAGTGTCAGATGTTTGCCCTTTAACATCGGGCCACAGGATGGAAATCTCAGTCCTGCTTCTTGTGACCAATGTTGACAGTCAGTAAGGGGTCTTTCTCTCGCTTTCTAACCCTTTCTCCGCTCCCCAGGAGCACGGTTCCCGAGTATCTATCTCATATCTTTCTGTGTTACTTGTGTGATGCTAAGGAACACAAAGACGACTCAAAAAGAAAATGGTTGAGACAAGATCAGTGTTCTGACTGGTGAAGCGCTGGTGCCTTTCCAGATGCCTTTGCCTGCCCGCTGCGTGTGGCTCAGCTGCTCAAGGGAGACTCATTGCTATGTGGAGCCTTTGCAATGCTCCCACCTGGCTTCAGCAGTTGCTGGATTGGAGCCTGAAAGAGGAGAGTGTCTTTTGCCAGCTCTGTGAAAATAGCTTCAGTATGAGAATGAGACTTAGTCCTGGCCAATCTGCAAAATGAATGGGGCAGGGAGCTGCCATCTGTATCTGTGAGTTGTTTTTGTCGTGAGGGGTGATGATATAATTGAAGTCTGAATCTGAAGCGTGAAGAATGATTTGAATGTGGTACTTCACCTTTTGAAGGTATTTTAGGAACTGCTTTACCTCTTAAAATGGCAGGTTGGTAATCTGCAAGCTAAGCAAACAAAAAACACCCTTGGAGAATCTCTGACTGAAAACAAGGTTCTTTTGTTACTCTTGAGAATTCTCGAAATACAGTTCTCGTTTGGCTTCAAAATAAGTTTGGGTTTGTTTTTTTTTTTTTTTTAACTGGATTAGAACATAGGACTTCCTGCTTTGTATTTAGAACCAAAACTGTGGCTTTCCACACTTTGTTTCTGGTTCTTGGAGATTGCTTAATTTTTTTTTCCTTTCAGTTTGGTTGAAGGGAGAGTAAAACTGTGTGTGAAAGCTGAGGAAAATGCTGCTTTTCATACTTCATTGGACTTCCATTGTAAGTGTAATGGGGTATAGTAAAACTCTTCACCTTCCCTGCATAGACTCCACCTTTTTTTAAGATGGCAACGTTTCCCTTTCTTCCTCCATCCCATTAAAAGATGACTGAGAATGAGGGAGGAAAGGAATCGAAGGCAAGTGCTGATGAAACTGATGGATTTTTGCTTCCAACAGTTGAAAGGGAGGGAAATTGTGTTAGTAATTTTTTTAAAATTTGCATTCAGTATGTCTTTCACCAAAATCTTGAATATTAATAAACCAGAGTGATCAAGGGAGAGGAGGAGGAGGAACTGGGGATCGACTAGTTTAATTTAAAAAAAAAAAAAAATCTAACCCCCCCAAAACTATACACCCCAATCTTCCCCGTCCTCAAACCCAGATATTAAAAGGACTTTGAGAACTTTCTTCTCAGAGTATTGTCATTAGCCCCTTTCTCTTTATCAAATATACTAGAACAACCTACTGCAGACTGATAGAGTATCAATTACAAATCAATGTATAATCAGTCTTTTCATGTACCTTCT